TAGATAGATAGATAGATAGATAGATAGATAGATAGATAGATAGATAGATAGATAGATAGATAGATAGAGCTGGACAAAAAATAAAACACCTTATTATTTTTCATGTGGGAGCCTCTGAGCCACAAAGCCCAAGAAAATAAAAAGCCCTCAGTACATCTCTAATTCATTGTCAGAGTGCAGCAGAGTCTCTGCTCTCAGTTGCTGGAGGTAATTTATGTGTTTTTGCAGCAGAACAGCTCTTCTAAATAAAAATAAAAAAAGTTAGTCGTTACACCACCTGCCACGAAGCTGTCAGACCAGGAGAAACACTAAAACTCTTTATTTTAGGAAAATAGACACATTTTGTATGTAAAGTGGTGACTTTTTAGGGGATGGTTGTCACAGTTTCAGGAGGTCGGGACCCAGGGATGTGGAGTGAACACGAGGAGCTGAAGAATCTCCATCCTCTGATGCTGATCCATAGTTGGGTCGTGGAGACAGCAGGTCCAGGCATCCCCCTCCCCAGCTCATCCTGGGAGACCTGACAGACCAGTAAATCCAGAGCTTTGTCTTTCGACTCAGCTTTCTTCACCACGGCCAACCGAAGCAACGCCCTCATTACTGAGAATGAGGCACCAGTCCATTGGTCCATCTCCTGCTCCCTCCTACAATCAACAAGACACCCAGATAAACTCCTCCACTTATTTTACTACAAACAAAAACAACGAGCTGACAATGAGACTTACAAAAGCGCTGAGAGACTCTTAAMGAGCAGCAGGACCACAGAGAGGACCGGTCACCACATGTGAAATGCTCGACTGCTGAGAGAGGAGAATCGGGCAGGGTTTCTGGKTTAGGACTGATGGGAAGAGTGGCTGCAGCTGTGCTGCATGAAACAGTGTGCAGGTGTGAGTGGGCRTGGCCAAATGACAGCAAACACAAAAACCAAAATGAGCTCAATCTAATCATATATCACAACCAACCAACCAACAAAGTACAGACCCTGACAGTAGTACATGGTTTAGTTGCTCAGGGTCAGATTTTCTCCTTTATATTAAAGATATTTGTATAAAATATATAAGATGATTTATAATCATAGAGTGGTTTATTGTTAAATCTCACAGATAGCAGACAAAACAAGCAAAAATAATAAAACTGTCACAGTTTATTGAGACAAAAGAGAAAACAAATGTGCTTGTCGAAGCAACATTTTTTATTTATTTCTTCATCTCTTTGTTGTACAGCTGTCAGTCATTTTCTAAATCTGTCACTAATCATAGCTTCTGTACGTCCTCAGCAACCTTTGTCTTGTCTTTGGATCAAGTGATTTGATGTTTAGAGGACTCTCAGACCCTTTCARGAGGACGAACGAAGCGTGTTCTTATCAAACTTTAAAACAGTCTGAACATTACTGACCTTTTTATTGGAGATGAACARCTTTGTGTCGACTCATAAAGCAGATAGAGCTAAAAGCCGTTGACCCCGGTGTCTTTCCACTGCTATCGGCCACACCATGAGGCCACATGTAGCCGATTTAACTGATTGATTTTAGAGTCGGACGTGTTATGTAAAAACATCACAGGGGATGGAGCTGGTTAGTACAAGGAGTGAAGGGACCGGCTGGGGAAAAGGATGAGATGAGGTGTGAAGGAAGAAAAAACTGAAAGTGAAAAAGGAATGAAAAGGTGAGAGGGCAGCTGGAGTGATGAGTGGAGACAAAACGCTCGGAGACAGACCAGCAGGGTTTGGATTAGAAATATTCTCAGAAAAGATGTGAACGTGTCTGAATTAGGAATTAGAAACTGTCCAGACAACTTCATGTTCAGWTTTTTTGTTGTTGCGTAAACTAAAAAATAGAAATAATTGCTTCATAAATAAGATTTTATTGAGACAAAATGGACAAACTTTTAATAATTACACTGAAAGTTTTGTTCAAATTCAAAAAATTTATGAGAAACAAACAAAAAACACCACCTCACAAGCAGAAACATTACCGCTTCACCTTCAGGCCTGTAAGAATGGAAGAGCTGAGGAATGATTGCTGGTGTTGTTTGGGTTCTGTTCTGATGTGGCTCTGGTCCAGTACCTGCAGAAAGGTCACGCTGACCCATTTATTAGAGGGAGGGAGACACAGGGAGGGGATGTCGGCAGAAGAGAGGAGGAAACAAAAGCTCTTGTGTCGAGGTTTGAGTTCTGACCGCTCCCTGCGCAGGTTCGACAGGAGGGTTTGTGTTGTTTTTCTTTTTTTAGAGAGACAACAAGTGATTCCAGAGGGATTTAAGAAAACTAAACTGATGGAAAGATGAAGATATTCACAAACATCTGCCTCCATTTGAGACCATTTGACACCTTTTGATTTTACATAAATGAGATCAGTTTATTAGCATAACAAATCAGTTTGATTCTTTCCCTGCTTGGTGTTACAGTAAACAGCAGTTAGAGGAACGTTGCATTCGTTCCTGAAAGTATAGGAATTACTTAAAACATTTTAGAAGTATGAAACAAGTTTAGGTTCAGGATTTCCTAATTCTGAGAAAAAAAAGTCAGAATTCCAGAGGTTTATAGTAACAAAGTACATTTACTTCATTACAGTTCTTAAATAGTTTTTTTGAGGATTTGTCTTACCAGTTATTTTTTAAATAGCTACTTTACTTTTATTTCATTACATTTTAAAGCTAAAAATGATACTTTTACTATACTTTAAAATAACACCTAGTTACTTGTTACAGAATTAAATGTGTTTGAACTCATCATGAAAGATGTTTCTGCTCTAAAAAATGAAATGTTGAATTTACTCAACAAAGTCGTGTCAGCTGGCTCCACTATGCCTAGTTGAGTAACAAAGAATATAAATATATTGCTCAATTTACTCAACCTGACTTAGTGGAACCAGTTTGGTTCAGTAAATTCAAGTTTATTTAGAAAGTGTGTAAAAGTATTTTTACTTTCCCAATTTTTGTGAACAGTTGTATAACATTTACTTAAGTAGTTTTCTCATCAGTGAAATTTATTTTTACCAAAGTCATTTTCTGTTCATGTAATTTTACTTTTACTTAGTTATTTTTGTCAAGTATAGACCTCTGCAGAATTCTGAATTCTGACTTTAATCTCTGAATTTGGAGAAAAAAGTCAGATTTCTGCATTTAATCTGAGATTAGATCTGAATTTTATTTTTCCCCCCCCTAATCCTCTTTCATAGGGGAACTTTCTCAATTCAACTTCAAATTTTTTTCAATAGAGAAACTCCAAAGAAGGGGATATC